CATCACACCTTTTTGGTATTCACATTGGAGAGGTTGTGGGATCCGGTTTGATGACTTAATAATTAAGACGGGCTCATCGAAACAGATTTATCCATATGCTTTCGTTTCGGACTCATACCGCATCCAAGTAAACTGCCGCCAAACACCCCCCAAAGGGTCGAGACAGTAAGACAAAACGATTGATCAGCCTGAGGGCACTTCTGTTTCTGTTCTTATTGCGTACAGTTAACGTGTTGACAATGGAGAGCCGAGCAGACTCTCCTAAGTGTCAGCAGATGGGTAAATCTGTCCCCGTGAGTCCGTTTTATTTATCCTATTAAGGATTCACCCACCACTAGGATGATTTTGGGAGGATTTTAGACCGCTTCGGGTTCTTAAAAGCTGCTGGTGCGTCGGGTACCACCAACTCACACTATTTTCTTTAACCCTTCTCAGATAGTGCATGGAGAGGCTGCACACCAAGATCGAACGCTTTTGTGCCTTTTTCAACACCTCGTAGCCCAATGCCGAGTTTCCACCTTCCACTGCTCACTTACTTCACCGTCTTGTAGAAAGATGGGCTGATATCCAAGTCAACCTGTCATACTTAAATTAAAAGCCTAATGGTAAATTGATCGTTCGTGACCAAGTGTGGACTCTGCTGTGTTACGTAGAAATTATAAGTCACGAAGGACCTCCCTTGAATGCGTTATTTCTTTCTTGACTGAAATAAGGCCTTCTCATAGTAATTTCACTTGTCTTTTGCCTACATATCTCAAGTATTTTGAAATTATACCGACTACAGGATTAGACTCGGGGTTCTTCTGTGTCTTCATGGCTCGCGTCTGGACTGTCGGTTAAGATGACATTATCCTAATATCACTTCGAACTCAAAGGTCATATTTTGGGATGTACTCACCCTTTAACTTTTCATTCGAACATAAAAGACTGACTCATTGCTTCCTATACGAATTTTGAAGACTCAGCATTTATGTGGATTGGTACACTTTGTCTTGTTATCAAGAAGTGTTCGTTCGCTAACGATAGCCAATTTTTGCTTAGCCAGGGCGTAAGACCGTGCTCATCCGTAGCAAATAATAAGTGGGGGCTGGTTAAGTGAAGTCCTACTATTTTTTTCGTTTCCTTGGACTTCTACTATAGGGATACAAGTTTTCCTCTGAATATATTTCCTCAATCATAACATTTAAGCGAGGTTCCTTTTAGAAGTGAGTGAATTTTGCAGTTTGTCCTGAGTACGGGTGGACATCGATCGCATATCAAGACATCTTACGACGTCAATTTTGGCTGTGACCAATA